TTCCTTATGACCCAGCTTTGAATATCCCCTGAGAAAATGAGAACTGAGGCACAAACAGACTTGTACACCAAATGTTCATAGGAACATTATTCACCATCACAAGAACATGGAAACAGCCCAAACGTCCAGCCACAGTGGAATGGATTGAGAAATTATGGTATAGTCACGGAATGGAATGCTATGCAGCATGCAGGAACAATGATTTTGTAAATCACTACCTAACTTGGGGAGAACTTTTTATTAAACATTCATTCATTGTTGCATAATTACTTCCCTCTCCCCACTCCCCCAAGTTCTCTTTGTAATGTACCTCTTATTCTGGGCTCTTGTTGTATATATAATGTGTAATAATATATTTCTTTTAAAAATTCTTTCCTTCATCTGTTCCGATGCAATGTTCTTATGCTCTTCTCTTCCCAACCCCCTATGTCAGGCCTGTTTTACAACAGTGACACCATCCAGAACTTGGCCTTTTGTGACTGAGATATTTCACTCAGCATGATGTCTGCAGGGTCACCCATGTTGTGTAATGTTTTATGAGTCCCTTGATTTTCAGCACTGCACAGTATTCCATTGTGTGAATACACCATAGCTTTTGGAGAGATTGGAACCCTTATTCACTGCTGGTGGGAGTGTAAAATGGGGCAACCACTATGGAAAGCAGTATGGCAATTTCTCAAAAAGTTGCAAATAGAGATACCATTTGACCCAGCAATTCCACTACTGGAAATATACCCTAAAGAAACCAGAACTGTCATCCAAACAGATATATGCACACTCATGTTTATTGCTGCTTCTCCTCTCTTGTCCTCAACCATCGAGAGTCTCTATCATCCTTGAGCCATTGTAATGGAATGTTCTGGAGTCATCTAGGGTTCCCTGGTTCAATTGGTACATACTATGCCACCTTGAACTCCCAGCTTCTCCCCTACACTAATTGCAAATAACAAACACATTTGTTTTCCTTCTTTAGAGAGGGGTCCTTCTAGAAAGAATACCAGAGAGGCTGTATTCTAGAATTTGAAGTTAGATTCTAGGCTCAGTCTTCCCTTTTAACCTGGAGGGCCCAGTGGCTTCACCTCACTGGTCTAGTTTCCTCATCTGTAAACTGAGGGTAATGGGCTATATCACCCAGTGGTTAGGAGGACAAACCAAGTTAATATTTGCCAAGAGTTCTGAAAACCATTAAAAGGCTGCACATGTGTCATTTATGAGCCATATTAAGTTGTCCTGCACTGCCACCACCTCCTTCTCCTGGATGAATCTAGAACTTGGAGTGGGCGGGGGTGGGGATGTATGACTAGGGAAGTAAGATCAATCATTGCAATGCCAGGCCACTCAGAACCCCTTTGCCCCAAACCAGTTCTTCTGATGACTGGTTTGCCTAAGAGTCAAATCAGTAATTTTACACTAAGACATTTGGCACCAATTTTCCCAAGAGGCACTTGTAGCAGCAGACTGTATTTTAAATTACGATGCCAACCATTTGCAGCATTTAGTGACTGATAAAATTGTTTCGTATGCTTGTGGGTGACTTTTTTTTTACTTTATCTCCTATTGAATACTTTTATGACATTTTCCCCCCTCAAGCAAGTTTGTCTAAAAGGCCCTTTCTCTACAGTTGTGTATTTGTGGCACTAACTACTTGTCAAATCTATAGAATTTCCCACCAAGATTTATTGAATGAACCCTTTTTGATCACCCCTGTCTCTTTCTCGCAGGGTTTTGTTCCGCATTGTGCATGCCTGTGTATACCTAATGGGCTTATTAACCAAATTAGCATGTACCCACTGTTCCTTTCTGTTCCACAAGATATTGGCATTTTGACAAGCATGAAGAAGTGAGACAGATGGGGCCAAATTGTATTGAACTCTTGCATTTTATTTTTCAGGCTATCTCATTCATCAAGCACCTTGACTTTGTGAAACATGAAATGATACATACAAAGGCATCACTAAAGGTATTTATTGCTGGAAACATAACATTTTTCAAGAAAGGCAAACTGGCGAAAAAGTCCCAAAAGTGTTCAAAGGTAGATAAAATAGAAGATACAAAATGCTGTTTAGTAGAAACCCTATATCCAATGAGAACGCTCTCAAATCACCTTTTAAATTAACCATTAAGTAACACCTAAAAAAAAAATTAGGATGATCAAAGAGATGCCAGAAGATTCAAAGCAGGCTGAGTTGCATATTCACTGGGCATTGAACAGGGGGAATCCCTTTGTGCTTTGGTTGCAAATTGGTTTGAAGTCAGTGGACCTAGAACAGATTTTGGGGTATAGGCACTAGCCTCCTCACACACATGCAACACATGGGCCTGGGGACCACCGTGGACCTTAAGGGAAAGGAATGCCTCTCCTGAACTTGACCCCTCAAAGGATGGGCTAATTGTCAGCTTTGAACTCTTTTATTATAAAGACATATTTACACAGAACCATCTGTACAAACACAGGCAACACAATTCTGGGAAAGGGATAATTTCTTAAGGAAAGGGCCTTAATATCTTTGTATAAATTAGTATAAGAATCATACACACCACTTTAAATAAGACAGCCACCCAGTCCACCCATCATTCTCTCTCCTGACTTCCTCAGCCAGCCCTCTATTCCCTGCCTTCCCCATGGGGCTGGGCTTGGCTACAGGCTAATAAGGCACATGTGGGGAGAGGGGGGGGCAGGTGAAGATGGTCCAGCCCCTGGAGGGAGTGGCAGTGGCAGAAGAGACTTTCTGGACACTGGCCAGCAGCCCCCACTCTGAGCCAATTTCAGGGTGGGCTTTGGAGTAGCAGAGGTGGTGGCGGAGGCAGCAGCAGCAGCAGTAGCATTAGCAGCAGAAGAGGTAAGAGATTCATGGGGGAAGAGGAGAGACAAGTGTTGGGGGCTACTGTGGGACTTGGGGGACCCTGAGTACCCCTGCTCCCACCCATACTTAAGTGGGCATCAGGTTCTTGTCTCCCCTCTTCTCCCTCTTGGGAGGCAACTGAAGAGGAAGCCTGCCAATATACAGAGAGGCCACCTTCAGGCAGGGACCTTCATGGAAGGCGGGACTTTCGGGGATGGTGCCCTTCCAGCAGCACTTCCTGCCATCTTTCCTGCCTTCCTTCTTTTAGACCCACCCCCACCCCCTTACCAAAGGCAGGCCATTGGGAAGGAAAGGCTAGCCGATGACGATGACGCCAAGCTCCAGGGGCCAGGGAACAGATGCTATGGAGTCACCCTATCCCAGATCCCCATAGCCAGGCCTGTCCCACCCCTGATAAAGGACCTGGGGACAGCGGATGCTGCAGGGATAGTGGCAGGTAGCCTTTGCAGTCCAGATTGGGGAGCTGGGGAGGTCAGAGCAGCTCCATACCCACCATGGGGCAGTTCACAGCCAGTTTGTCTCTCCCCCCTCAGCAGAACCTCCGCCCAACCTGTGGAAAAAGGCACTTTTTTTCTTTTCTTTTTCTTTTTGGAAAGACATCAGCAAAAGGGAAGGGGACATGAAGATGTGGGAGTTGGGAGACTTGGGCCCTCATTCTGGCTCCACAGCGACCCTGAGGAGGTCATGCCCCCACCCAGGCCTCTGGCTTTGCAGGAGTGCATGAGGGGGTGGAGCAAAGTCATTGCCAAGGTTCCCTTGACCATGTTCCTGTTGGGTTTTGCTCCTAGGAGGGTATAGAGCTGTCTCAGGCCCAGACTCTCCCTTGCTGGGCTAGAGCTGGGACGAGCTGGAGGAGGTGGGGCAGGGAGAAAGTCAGGGTTAAGGTGACAAAGAAAGGGAACACAAGTGACAAAATACTGCCTAAACACAGGGGTGAGGATAAGGGCAGCCCAGCTTTTCCTCTCCTCCCATGCTTCACTGCTCCCATTCACCAGCACTCCAGCATCCCCCAGGGCACCGTCTCTGGTCCTCAGGTCCCCTAACTAGAGTCTCTTGCTGTTCATCTTTGTGTTTCTCTCCTGGAGCCTGGGCTGCAGGCTCCATGTGACACAACGGCTTGGGATGTGCTGGGACTCACTGAAAAAAAGGTGGTGTCCACTCAGAGCCCACGGAGGCCTCGAGGTGCAGTGGTTACATGCTTGGTTGCTAACCAAGGTGGGTTGAGAGTCCAGACCCACCATATGCTCCAAGGGAAAATCTGTGGTCGTCTGCTTCCATAAAAACTGGAAACGCTATATGGGACAGTTCTACTTTGTCCTTGTGAGTCAGAATTAACTCCACACCAATGGGTTTTTGACCATCCAGACACTGGCATATACGTGAGGAAGGAAGCCAGGCGAAAGATGGGGCCAAGTAGATGGGAGATGGCAGGATGAGAGTGTTTGGGAGGACCTGTGGGGCGGGGCAGTAAGACAGGTCTCCAAAGTCAATCCTGGAGGAGGAGGAAGATGGTTTGAACGGATCCGAGAGAGACACCACATTGTTTAGATGGGTGGGAAGAGCCGGGACCATCAGCAGCTAGAAGAGGTGCAAGCTGAGACTGAGCGACTGTGATGACTCCAGAGAAGCGAACCAATCTAGGGAGCAGAGACAAGTCCCAGGATGCCCGGCAGTCCTTCAATCCTGAAGGGACAGAAAGAAAGGGCTAAGTCACTGGTGTGGCCTCAGCCAAGGGAACCAGCTCAGGAAGGGGAAAGAGGCAGCCTTCATTTCCACTCCCGCACACCCGGAACCGGAAGCCCTGGCTTGGTGCCACCGCAGCTGGACTGCAGCCTGGGAGAAAGCAGGCCAGGCCTCAGGCCCTGGACTTGGCTCTTTCTGCTGCTGTCTTTGATTTCTCTCTCCTTGCCATAGGGCTGGGGCATCTGACTCTCAAGGAGTGAGGAGATGGGCCTGCTCCTCTGGGAAATGAAGAGAAAGGCCTCCCTGCTACCTCTAAGTCCCTGCATGGTGTATGCTGCAGGGACTGCTCAGTGGATGTGTCTGCCCAGTGACAAGGGCGCAGTATCACCCAGCATCTAGTCCGCACCCCTCTCATTCAGACCTGCCCACTGACCAGAGGCTCAAGTACCTGCTTCAGAAAGGCATGGGCCCCTTGTGGGAGAGGCGGGGCCGCTGGCGGCGGAACTTCCTCCGACCACCCTGCCAGGGCCCTGGTCCATTCCTCGCCCCTCTGGGCTGCACCAGGTGGCGGACAGTGCCTTCCTCCAGTCCATTCTGGTCCAAAGGTTGTATCAGGGGACCTGTGGGTGGGAGAGAGTGAGAGAATTTTACTGAAAAGGAACAAACAAGTCGAATCAGTCGCTGTTGAATGGAGTAAATCCTGGCTCATGGCGACCCCAGGTGCTCCAGGGCAGACCTGCTCCTCGGAATTTGCAAGGCTGTTAATTTTCAGGCAATCGCCAGCACGCCTGTCTTCCGGGGTATCTCTGGGTGGACTTCCTGGCTAGTAGCCAAGTGCATTAACCCTTCGTGCCACCCAGGGACTCCATGAGTGAGGGTCCCATTGCCTTCTTGTTGATTCTGGTTCACAGCGACCCCACTGGGCAGAGGCGAGCCAGCCCAAAGGGTTTCCCAGGGTTCCCTTTACAGAAGCTGACTGCCACCGCGTCCTCCCAGCTGGCGGATTTCAACTGTCAACTTTTTGGTTAGCAACTGCGTGCTTAGTCCACTGTACCAAAGTGGGCAGGAAGGCCACAGATGGCAGGCCCACAGTAGAGGAAAGTGTCTCCATGAGGTGGCGCTGCTCATAGTTTTTCAATCCTGATGAACAAACGGTGCCACCTGGGGCAAGCGGGGTGCACCACTCACATCCTGCAATGAATGGCTTTAACTGATGTCATGTCCTTTTGACAGTTACATCATGCTTCTGACTGGTACAAACGTGTTCTTTCTTTGGAGCACTGCTGGGGGGTGCCATTTGAGACATTCTGCCTGGACTTGTCTAGGGCACAGGATGCAGGCACTCTCGTGGCACTCCTGCCACCGACACACTTCCATTGTACACCACAGCGAGCATGCTCTCACGAACCATCACCCCGGTCCAGCAGTTACCTAGACCTTCGCCCACGTGCCTTCGCGACCTCTAAGTTTTTCTCTTTTGCTGAAGCATCATAACGCAAACGCTGAACCTGCTCGTGCACTTCTATCTTCTTTGTACAAGGTGACTCTCTGGTCGGCAGGTGAGAGGACAGCCTCCGAACCTACCGGCGTTAGGCTGGGCCCTATTCCCCAGGCCTGGACTTAACCAACTCATCACCATAGAGCTGATTTTGACTCATGGCAATCTATGTGTTCCAGTAGTGGAGCTGTGCTCCTCCATAGGATGGGCAGAAGGATGGGTGAGTAGGTGGCTAGGTAGGTAGATGGATGGATGGAGGAAGGATAGATGGCTGGGTGAATGGAAGGATGGGTAGATAAGTAGGTGTAAGTATCTGGGTGGATGGGTAGGTGGGTAGGTTAATGGATGCATGCATGGATGGATGGATGGATGGATGGATGGATGGATGGATAATTGACTTGGTAGGTGGATAGGTGGGTGGGTAAGTGAGTGAGCAGGTGGGTGGGTAGATGGATGAAAGTGAATGGTCACCTGCATGGCTTGGCAACAGGAAGGGATGCAGCTGGCACTTCTTCACTCATTGTCCTACTTCCTTTCTCTTCCAGAACAGATCCTGCCCTTCTATCCTGGATCTGATATTGATTCCCACCATCCCAATCTCAGCTTATTTCTATTCTGCCCTTTGGGGTGCCTCTTTCTGTCTGACCACATCTGGCTGAGAGTAGAAGCTTCCTGATACCCGACTGAGCCCTGACAATGGAGTCCAAGTGGGGTGAGCGTTCTTGGGCACAACGAGAGTGGCCTGCTTGCAGGGATCCTACCATCCAGCTGGCACTCTGGGGACAAGCTCTGATCACAGAAGGCAAGTGGAGTGGGTTGATGGGCCAGGGAAGAGGTTGGCCAGCAGAGAGAGGGCTTCAGAGGCCAGAGATCATGAATTGAGTCCCATGTCCATCCATGCAGGAGACCCTATCCTTAGCTCACACTTTCTGGAAGTCTCCCGCCACTTCACAGGGAAAAGATCAGACAGGCGGCTCCCATTAAGATTCATAGCCTTGGAAACTCCCAGAGGGTCACCAGGGGTCAGAATGGACAGCAATGGGTGAGCTGGTATTCTTTAAGGGGACAGACTGCCAAATCTTCCTCTCATGGAGCTCCTGGGTGGGCTCAGACTGCCAGCCTTTTCAGTTAGCTGTCAGGTGCTCAACCACTGTACCACGAGGGCTCCTGGGAAGCCCTAGGAAATGTAACTACTCACAGTATGTATTATATAATGTAAATACTACTGGATGGGGGAGGCGTAGGCACCAGGAGCCCGTGGAGATGGGGCAGAGATGGGCTGTTCGCTCCATATCCTCAGCACCCCAGAGGGAGACAAAAGCCAAGAAGGGGAATAGACAGGGAGGTTGAATGCCTGGCTGGGAAGCTCTAGATTCCAGGGCTGCAGAGAGCCACTCTGAGCCTCGGGATCCGTCTCCCTCAAGGCCTCAAGCCATTTCTTCACCAACTTCTCTTCTCTGGCTTCCTTGCCTTGGCCCGGGCCGCACCCAGCTGCCTGCCCCAACATCACTGAGCTTTCAGGAGGCCGGACTGCTATTGGGCCATTGGGCACCACGGGGCCTGGGCTTCTTGCAGAAGCCACTGAGAGTGGTTTGTGCCCAGTCAAGGAAAAGTGCTCCATGGGCCCTCTGACCAGGGCAGATCCATGCCAACATCGTGCACACCGGCCCATCCAACTTTCCAGAGGTCCTGGCATCTTGTCTCAACCGGCAGAGGCACATTGTCCTCCTCTTGGCCAGAAGTCTGCGGGTGCCCCTAGCACCCTGGTTCCGCCACCCACCTGTTTCTTAGGCCTGCTTCTAAGGCTGGTGCACCTAGAGATAAGCTGACACCTGAAACCCTGGCTTTCTGCTGTGCAAAGGGACAAATTAGAGGCTGTGCGCTCTCAACACGGTGCAGCTGGACGAAAGAGCTCCCCTTCCTTGGAAAGGGTGCCACCCCAGGGCTCGTCAGGATTTTCTTGCAGCATATTCACAACTTAAAGAATTGCAACCTTGGAGGGACTGGAGCCAGTCACTGCTCTTTGAAACACCATCTGCCAGGAAGCGACAGCATCTCCACACAGAAACCTCCCTCAGGTGGCAATGGGGATTTTTGCCCCCAGCAACTTGAGTGTCAAACTGGCCAAAGCACAAAGAACTACGTGCGACTTTTCAGGAACCCGCTGGCCTCTCCAGGAATGATGCGCTACACCTGTTTGGCCGTCTGCGGTCTGGCCTGCCTTGTGATCACCACCGTTAAATCTCCAACGTGCACTCTGGTGGGACTCACGTGGGCTGTGCTGGGACCTCATGTGTCTCTGGGACGAGGCAGGCGTCCTCACTTTCTGTGCCCAGCACCCCTGCCGGGTGCCCTGAGCCGCTCTCTCATGCCAACTCTGCTCACTCGGGCAGCTTGGCTCTCTATTGCACTTGGCCCAGCCCTCTGCTGGCCCGGAGGCCAAGCTCAGGTTACATGGGAATGCAGCAATTGGGGATGAAATGGGGAGGCCCCCTCCCTGAGCAGGACGGAGTACAGCAAGCTCGTCCCATCCTATGGATGACTACAGGCTTCAAGCTGGAGCTGGAGAGGAGAGGACGGGCATTGGGGGGTGGGGGTTGGAGGTGCTCAGACAAAGACCAAGGGACACTTGGCCTCAGGCCCAGCAGCTCACAGACTCAGAAGAGCAAAGTGTGTCCCAGGTCAGGAGGAAGCAGCAGAGCGCTAGGGCAGGCGTGCACTCCTAGTCTGGTTGGAGCATGGAGTGGAAGAAGCATGTTTTGAGGCCTGGACCTCTGGTTGGGGACAGCATTCCAGCCAGGGACAAGGACAAAGTGCTTCTGGGGTTCCCCCTCTAACTTAGGACAAGAGGAAGGAGAAGCAGGACTTGAGGGACCCCCAACCAGGAAGGTGCCTGTCCCCCAACTCCAGGAGTGGCTGTGGTGGTGGAAACCTTGGAAATTTCCAGTGCTCTACTTAGGCAGAGTATGTAAGCAAGGAATTTATGCTAATCAGGGTGTATGGGGGACAGGTAACTAAATGAGTGGAGGGGGGATGAAAACAAGAATTAGCAGGCTGAGAACAGACACAGCCTGACCAGCTTTCCTCCCCATGAAATAAATTCTTGCCTTTCCTGGTGTTGCCTAGTGACTGGATTGTGACAAGCAGGGGTCAAGTGGTAGTCTTGGGGGGGGCAAGGCCCCCCAGGTAGCCCTTGGGGAGAGCATTCATGTGCAAATGGAGATGCCTCAGCTCCTCCTGGATGGGGGGGGCGCTCTGTGTGTTCACTTTCTTCCCTGAAGGCACCATCCATCAGGTACCTCTTTGCTAAGTGGTACCGAGTGGGTGTTTTGCAAGCTACAGTGGGTGGGAGGCTTCTGGAGCACGCTGGCTCAAGTGAAGTCCTTCCTCCAGCATGTTCACTTGCTTTCTGCTGGTGCCTGCCTGATGGGAATTCACGAAGGAGCTAGCTTACCCAGTGCTTAGTTCCTGAAGAACAGGGCCACCTGAGACAATGAGGTGCCAGCCTCCAACCAACACACCTTACTGAAAAGTCACAGTGCTCCTGGTGCCAGGGCAGTGCCAAAAGACAGGAACAGAGAATGGGGGCCACCTACAAAGAGAGGGTGATGGAACCCAACCCACGGAATCCCTCTGAGGCGCTGAGGCTGCAAGCCATCCTTCTGTTCTGGAGGATCTGGGGCCCGGTGGAGCCCTGACTCTTTCCTCTAGGAACTCTGTCCTGCCTTCTCCTTTCCTCCCTGTGACTCCTGAGCTGGCATCAGCCCACCTCGGCTTGGATTCCCTTTCTGTGCTGCCAGGCAAGCAAGCAGCAGTGACAGCCAGATCACAGGACAGTGGCAGCTGGAGGTGGGAGCTGACAGCCCCAGGAGACACTGACACACAGAAGACACACGGGCTGGGGCTGCTGGGGACCCGGATTGGGTCTTGTAAGGGAACACCAGAGCCAGAGTACGGGCAGGTGGGAGGCATGGTGCAGGTAGGGGACAGGGACTTCCCCTGAGCTGCATAGAGGTGTCCTGGCCCTAAGGTCTCCCATGCTGGCATCTTGCATGTGAGAGGCCAGAGTCAGAGATTGAAGAGCCCAGGGTTGGGGTTAGTGGGAGCTTCAGGAAGGCCTCTTGTGTGGGACGTTGGGTTAACGGAGGTGAACCCCAGCTGGCCTGGCTCTGGCCTATGCAACAAGTGTCACGTCTGCATTTTGGCACAGCATCTTAAGTGGCACGCGCCCATGGACCGGCCAGCGGCCCCTGCAAACTTCTACCGTGCGAGCCCAGCCCACCTGGCTTCAATTCTCTCCATTGAACTCCGAGGGGCGCAGGGCACACAGGGCAGCCCTGAGCTCCTGGTCTGCAAGGGCGGCCAGGTGGGATGAGGCAGATCAGGTGATGCCGGGCAGGACAGGTGATGCCCGCGACCGGCTGAGCCCGGGAGGAAGCAGTGCCCGCAGCGCCGGGCTGGTCCGGGTGCCTCATCTGTCAGACAGCGGCGTGTAGCTGCTATAGCCCGGCTCGTGTTGCCAGGAGGCTGGACGGGGGCAGCGCACAAAGTGGTGAGGCCACGAGGGGCACGGGCGCGCACTCACCTCCACACACCGAGGTCAGGGCGAGCCAGAGCAGCAGGAGCGCCTGCACGCACCGCCGCAGGTCCATGCTGCCAATCGCGGGCCGCCGGCGCGTCGGGGCGGGCAGGGCGCAGAGTCGGGCGCGAGCCGCCGGCTGGGTGCCGAGTTTGTGGCTCCGGCCTGGGGGAGCGCGCGCCGGGCCGAGGGAGTGCGCGCCGGGGCCGCGTAGCCCGCTGCGCTCCCGCCCCTGCGGCTGCTCTCTCCTGCCGCAGGCAGCACCGCGAAGCTGGCTCGGAGGCGCGGGGCGGGCACGTTCCAAGGGCCGTGCTGCTCTGCTCGCCGCTGCACCAACTGCCCGCGGCCCAGGCTACCAGCGCGAGTGCTCCCGCTCACTCCGGGGGCCGCATTTTGTAGCGGGTGGCTTGGCCGCGCGCCCACTTGATCATGTGGTCATCGGGAGGGTTGGCGGGGGGGTGGGGGGGAGGCAGGAAGCGCGCGCCTCCCGCACCGCCCCCCGACCGGCATGCACGCGGCCGCCCAGCCGGGGCGCCAGCGGGAGAGACCCGAGGTGGCTTCTCCACAAAGACTTTGCAAGGCCGCTCCCCGGACAATGCCTGCCTGGCTGAGGGCCAGAGGGCTGGCTGAGACTTGAGGGTTTCAAACACAGGAAGCGTTTGGGGGGGGGGGGGGGGGGGGGGGGGGGGCGCGGTGGATGGGCACACTTAACCCTTTCTCACTTCACTTCCTCAACAGATGTTAGGAAACTTAGGCGCTCAAGGAAGGACCAACCCATCCCTGATGGTCCTCCACCCACCAACCCACCTCCCCCTCTGACCCCTGAGCTGCTGTCACATTCTGGCCGCATCTTCACCTGGGTTTTGGATTGGGGAAACTTCGTAGTCTTGTGGCCACGGCTTGATTTAATTACTCAGCACCCCCATTTCTCCCACTATCTGTGGCCTCCTGCGGAAATGCCTCCAGTCCACCGCTTTCTTACCCCAGCGCCTCAATCCCATCTCTCCCAGAAGCCTTTCCAGGATAAGTTACCCAGGTGCGGCTTTCCCGCTCTGGTCCCTTTTGCTGTTGTGAAGTGCATCCGTTCTTGTTCCCCCTAATCGTGGTGGGAGGTGACTGCCCATCTCTAAAGTCAAGGCTGGATGGCTCTTCCCCACGTTTGGGATACCCCTTTGTAAACGGGTCCTGAAGGGATTTGCTTCTGGATACCTATCCCAGACTAGATGGTTAACCAGAGTGCTGAAGGCACTGTGGTGGTGGTGGTGATGCTAGATGCCCTGGAGCTCCCTCCTGCTCATAGTGACAGGGAACACTGCCCAGTGCTGCAGTATCCTCACAGCCGTGCAGGAGTGCGTTGCTGCAGTCACTGTACCATTCCATCCCCAGGAGGGCCTTCCTCTTTTTTTGCGGACCTTCTGCTTTTCCAAACATGATGTCTTTCTCTTAGACATGTAGCCCCTCTTGATAGCATGCCCAAAGTGTGTGAAACGTAGGAGCTAGGAACACTATAAGATGCTGTGTTCTCGCTTCTCTGGCTTCCTTCAAAGTCCCTAATGTCATGCTCTGCACATAGGTGTCACTCAACATATGTGAAAAGACAACAATGCAAGGTATTTCCTCTATTCAGTTAACCAGGCAATTTGCTTGACATGCAAATCCAAATTGACACAAAAGATACACTGGACAGTGTTTATGTGAGAGATCATGGTATGTATACTTTTTTGAGTGTTAAAAAATCAGGTACAGAATATTTTTTTAATTGTATGTTTCCTTTAACCAGAATTGTTAATTCCACCAGAGCGGGACCTTTGTGCATTTTTTTCATACTCTGTCAACTCAAAGGCTTGTGGTTCGAATCCACCAGCTACTCAGCAGGAGAAAGATGGGCAGTCTCTTCCTGTGTGATTTACAGCTTCTTAAAACCCACTCCTTTTCAGAGGATCAGCTATGAGTCGGTTCCAACCTGATGGTACACAACGGCAACAACATATCCCCAGTAAACATAGATCAGTAACTGGGACATGGTTTCACTCACTGCCATTGAGTCAGTTTCCATTAATAACAACCTGCCAGCTAGTTTCTGAGGCTAGAAATCAAGAGGAGATTGCCCATCTTTCTCCCTCAGAGCCATTGGTGGATTCATACCACCAACCACCAACATGCAACTTGCTATGGGCCATGCCACTGGACATGGTAGTAAATATCTCTGGATATACTAATGAGCTTTTTAAGAACATCCCTATTACCTACACCAAGATAGTGGGAAGAGAATAAAATAGGGTTCTGGCTGTAGTCTATAGCTCTATTGGCTGTAGGAATGTAGGGGAAAGGCGGTGGGTCTGCGTGGCATGAGAACATTCTCCCTGTCCTGTTCTCCTGGAAGGAGGAGGAGAAACACCAAGCCTTTGGTCTCAATCCTCACCACCTTGTAGGGCCCTATCCTCAAACCTAAATTTACTGTATCTCATGGTGGTGTTGGTGTTGCGTGGCCTTGACTTGATTACAATTCATAGAGTCACTGTGAACCTGAACGCTGCCCTAACCTGCATCATCCTCACCATTTCGGATATGTTCCTTGTTACAGTCACTGTGTCAATCCATCCTGTTAAGATCTTCTTCTCTTTCTTCGACCCTCCACCTTGCCCAATGACGTCCTTCTCAAAGGACTGACCCCTCCAAATGACAAACATACCCAGAGTATGTGAGAAGACAGAGATTTCCCCATCCCTGCCTCTAAGGAGCATCCTAGTTGTACATGGTGAGGATAAGGAAAAGACCCTGGTGATGGACTATTTCATGTGTCAGGCTGTGAACCGAGAGGTCAGAAGTGGGAATCCGTCAGCTGCTCACCAGGAGAAAGCTAGGCAGCTTTCTTCAGTAGAGATTTAACAGCCTCAAAATGAAAGGGAGAGAGAGTCACTATGGGTTGGGATTGACTCGTGGGCAATGGGTATAGGTGAAGATGACAATCACTTTTTCAGGGTGGCTATGGTATTATATGAGATAAGTTCCCTGAAGATTCTATGAAACTGGAATAAGCCCTTGCAGGATCATTAATTTGGAACAGTGCTTCTTCAACTCCTGGTAAAGCGAGTTCATACTCAAATAAGCACCACTCAATGGAGAAGAGTACGGACTATTTCCTAGACTGGCGAAAGAACAAATATGCCTTGGACAAAGAGCAACCAGGGTTGGAGGCAAGGAGGGTGAAACTCCATCTCACATCATTCTGGCTTGTTGTTAGGAGGGGCTGGTTCCTGGGAAAAGATGTCATTCTTCAGAAGGTAGAGGGTCAGTGAAGGAGGGGGAGGTCTAGGTCTGATGGACTGACAGTGATTGAAGCAACAGGTCAAGTGTATCAGAGATAATGAGGGTAGAACAGGATAGGTATCATACTCAATTCAGCTGCACCTAACAACTCTGATAATAAGGTTAACAGAGTCGTCCTATTTGATTGCTCTTTTATTGTTGTTGTTGTTATGTGCCTTTGCATCACCTGTGACTCATAGTGACCCTCTGTACAATAGCTTCGAACCCTTCTCTATCCTGAACCAGTCTCACTGTCCAATACACCTACTCTCATGACCACAGTTACTGTGTCAATCCATATCATCCAGAGTCTTCCTCTCCAAGGACTCCTAGCCATGTGCCCAAAGTGTGTGAGACAGAGCTCCAAAATCCTTGCTCCCAGGGAGCAGCTTGGTTTTACTCTCTTCAGGATAGAAGTGGTAGATCTCTTGGCGGTCCATGGTATGTTCAATACTCTTCTCCAGCACCACACCTCAAAGGCATCAGGTCTTCTTTTGTCATCCTTAGTCATTGTCCAGCTCTCTGATTCATAGCAAGTGATTGCCAGGATCAGTAATAGCAAGTAATTGCCTGGATCAGGCTCACCATAGTCTCCATATTGCTCCTTTGTGAAGGTGTTTATGAGCTACCCAATATAGTAGCTAGTGTTGTTGGGAACCCATCAAGTCACTTACAACTCAGAGCAACCCCGTGTGACATGGTAGAACTTCCCTTTCAGGCTTTCTTGGCTCCAATTTTTGAGGGAGCAGATCATCAGGACTTTCTCCCAGGAAGCCACAGGGTGGATTTAACTGTTTGTGCCCCTGAGGCTCCATTAGCAAGGTGTGTGCGGACTGTTTGTGAAGCGGTGTATAGCTGTACAGTTGTGCTAGTAAACACATTTAAAAGAATTAATTCTCTTAGTCACAATGGGCACATTTCAGTGTTTACCAACCGTATGTAATAGGCCACCTAAATAGCACAGAATAGAACCCTTCACACATTGCAGACATTTCTATTAGGAAACACTGGGCCAGAACATCATGCTTGTGCTGTCTTCTTCTAGAATCCTCTTTCTCACCTTACCTGGTGTTTAAATGCACAAGATAAGTGGGGAAGCCTCCAAATGCAAACCAAATGCAAAGGAAAGTCAAACAACATTCAAAAAATAGAAATCAATCACACAAAACAAGATTCTGAAAGCTCATCGCTTGGGGGAATAATTTTTAAAATGATTTGGTCTTGTTACTGAGATCATACACTACAGAACACACTCCAATCCCACATTATCTACATGCCCAATTCAGCAACATTGATTACATTCATGCTTTTCAATTGCCTCTTTTGCATGTGAAAGCTGGGGGGATGAATAAGGAAACCCCAAGAAGACTGGTGCCCTTGAATTGTAGCATTGAGGAGAATATTGAGGCTCCCGTGGACTGGCAAAAGAACATACACATCTGTCTTGGCAGAAGTGCAGCCAGAATGCTCCTTAAAAGTGACGGTGGGGAGACACTGTCACATACTTTGATCATGTTATTACAAGGGGTCAGGTCCCTGGGGAAGGACGTCATGGTTAGTAGAGAGTCAACCAAAAAGTGGAGGACAATCAGTGAGATGGGATGACACAGTGACTACAGCTATGGGCTTAAGCTGAGGAGAGGCTGTGAGGATAGTCAGTACACAGGGCAGCGATGAAGGGGGGCCAGATTATTGGCACCTAGCCAGGCTGCTCCTTGGAGGCAAGGATTCTGAAGCTCTGTCTGACATACTTTGGACATGTTG